TTATAATAAATACTTTATTAAAACAAAGACGTGTCACTTTACAATATACAGATATACACAAAAAGCTATACATAACATTTTCTTTTCCTTATATTTCTTATACACGTTACACATATCAACATTTTGAAAAATATATTATCTAAAATCTAATAAATAAATAATAAATAATAAATAACAAATAATAAATTCATCGAGTAAATAAATATTCATAAATATAATTGTCGTATAATCTTACCTTTTGCGTTTCCTTTGAAAGGATTTTGAATGTTTTCCGCTCTAAATGATCAAAAAAATTATATTGCTTAAACAATTTTCTACCCAGACAAGAAAGTGAGCTTTTAAAAAGTGGTGTATTTCTATTTTACAGTAGTGTGTAAAAATAGCGCAGAGCAGGACAATGTTTCACATTTCAAATCACGCCATTCCTATCCAAAATTCCCCAAAAAAATATTCTTTTTACAATACTAATACTATAATATATAACATAATGAATAATATTAATAAATAATATATAATAATACTAATGAAAATGACGCGCATGAAATGAAAATCTAAAATTGGTGAAAGTGGCATTGGCCTTGTACCTCATTTTTCTCTGGGTGTGAAACTGGATTTGGAATTAATTTCTCCTGCAGCAATTAAAGATGAAAAGTATGTTAACAAAGTCAATCAATCTATGTTTTTGTTCGTCCTTATCAATTGTTATACGACGTTGACAGTGCACAGTGAAGGAAACGTTGCTCCATTTGTTCACGGTATAAGGGAATATAAATTTTTTTTACCCTTAAAAATCGTTCTAATATATGTATTATTTGTTAATTAATCCTATATGATTAATATTAAAATTATTTAATAATAATAATAATAAATATTTACATAGCGCCTATTCAAATCTGCTCTAGGGGTAGGCTGCGAGCTTTGCTTGGCGCCTGTGGCTGCCGCTACACAACCCATACCACAGGGGAAAAATAAGTAAATGATACGAAAATAAAATAAATAAACACACACGCACGACGAAACCACGACTAAAGGTCAGACTGTTGTATCGGGTAACAATCCCCTACTCTTACGAAAAATACAACAGGATCTTTTACGTGCACTTTATCGGGGATCAAGTGCAAGCAGACGGGACCTCCGGTTTTACGTCATTATCCGAGAAGACGCTTGCTTGATGGCTGTTGGCTTTTACGAGCTCCTCCACCCTTTGACTTTATCATCTAGTAACTTAACTGTATCTGCGCGGAAATATTTATTCGCATAGTTTTTGGTCATCGAATAAAAGTTTTTACTTTTAAAGTGTTCATACATGAAAATAATAAGGAAATGAGCATTTTCAGCCATACTTGCTTTGGTTCATTGTGCACGGTCAGTATCACGTGATTGTACAATTCAACCTCAAACGCATAACAATAGCTTTGTTCTATGGAGTTTCCAAACCATTCCACTCCATTAACTATGGCAAGGGTGAGTATATAGATGGGGAATTGGTAAGTGGATAAATAGATGCAAGGATGGACAGAGGGGCGGACTGATGAATGGATCGATGAATGAAAGACTGATATTTGAATGGATGGATGGATAGATTACTTTGTTCATTTATGAACAGCTCCTAAAATCCAACCAACATCCATAAAGGTGAGAGACGGTTCATTAATCACTAGAGCTTCCCTTAACGATTTATTGACTGTAACATTGCGATTACCTTAATATTCTGTTCATCCTTACATACATACATATCAACATACATCAGTAACATAGCAACCACATGTTTACACTGTCCAGTCTTGCCGGMAGAATCCAGGCACGAACACTTTGCCTGTTTTATACCTAGAAATCACACGAAAAAAAAAGCGTTTAGCATCGTTGGGTTTACTGTTTTATTTTACATTATTCGAACTCCTTCATAAGCATAACGTTATTGTTAACAAATCATCAAAATTCGTAGTCAGATTTTCTATTAAATAGCCAAAAATGCTACACCACTGTTCTCCATCGACAGCGGATGTTTTGTTGGTTTTGTTTGTTTGTTTGTTTTTTGTTTGTTTTGTTTGTTTTGTGTGTGTGTGTGTGTTTTTGTTGTTGTTTTTTTAAGGGAAAAGGTCTAATATTGCCTGCCTTGATTTTGGATAAGTTATAGCCATAAAATCCATATCTAGTACACAATCTCGAACCCAGAGCCCACGTTCCTTTTTGTCAGTACCGAGAAACGACAAAACATTTATCGGAGCTGACCAAGAGGAAAGTGGGCTCTTGGTACGAGATTGATGTAATACAAACTTCACCAAAAAAATATTGCTAAAATGAAGCCTACCATGATTTCCAACAACGGCAATTACATCATAATCTTGTCCTTGGGAGCCTGTACCTAGATTAGACAAAACATATGGTATGTTATAACCGTAGGAGTAAGTCATACGAGTAAACCTGCTCTTGCCTAATGTTTGCCCAGAATGCCTTAAAGTGCACCTTACCCCTGATACAATACTTTCAGTATTGATTCTACATAAAGTGAATAGTTCAATGGTGAAATATTTCTTCACTTGAATGTTACGTCTTAAAGTTATAAAGGTTTATACTTCCAATGTTACTGACTGTGACGACAACCCAGCCTTTTGAGTGTATTTGTTTTAATTTTTATTACTAAACACTAGCCATTATGAGACATCAAATTTATTGTGGAAACCTAGAGAATTATCGTGATGGTTTTTAGATACTGTTTGTGGGAACCAGTCCAAATTTGTATATTTAATGAAGCCTGGGGTGACGTCACAGTAACTTGACATATTGGAACTTTATAACTTAAAGACGCAACAYGCAAATGAAGAAATATTTCACAATTCAACTATTCACATTATGTAGAATCAATACTGAAAGTATTGTATCAGGGATTAGGAACACTTTAACCAAAAAGTCGATGGAGCTACTTTCGGTGTTTCTCATTTGTGTCTCAAAGTTTTTCGTGCTGCGGATCAAAATTTAAGCTTTATTTTTATGTAGCATACACTTAACATATAGATCTTTACCGAGTGACTAAAACACATTTCATTTATTAAACCTTTCAATTGGTTACAACAACAAAGTGTTCACAGCCCTACCATGTTACCACGTTGGTAATTCTCTTTTGTGTTAATAATAAAGCAAAAATTAAAATTAGCTTGACTACAGCATAACGTATTTGCTGAACAATCCTTAAAATACATCCATGGGCATGTTTTCAGGGGGTGGGGGGCTTATTATAGGAAGTTTTTYCCCGCTATAAACAAGGGAGATTCATTTTCGACTGGGGTTTACATTTGGGAGAGGGCTTTTTTTCGGACGTAAACGATATGTCCCGAGGGTCACTGGGCAAGGGACATCTATGGGAAATCAGGCACCCTTACTGCATTCAAACAAAATGAATGACAAATATGAACTAAAACAAGCAAAGTTTGTTTGATCTCTCTTTTGAGTTTTGGTTTTTCTCYAAGCTCTTTAGATTTCTTTCCTCCACGAAACCCAACAAGCTAGATTCCAATTCAATCTGATGTTTCAGGGTTCAACCTGTAAGCTAGTCGGCATGCAGCAACGCAGATCAGCCAAGAGGTTGTTGCCAGGGATCAAAAAAATGGATGTCTCTTCTTTGAGTAGGTTTGAGGCTGGTCTTACGGATTCTTTGAAAGTGATGACGATATCTGCTCTGTTCGCAGTCTTACAAATCAACTCCACATCTTGACTGTAGATGTCGTAGACGTCCTGATTGCTTAGTAGCTCTTGAAGTATTTAATGTTACTGCTCCTTCCTGGTAAAAAGGAACGAGCAGTAACATTAAGACTTCAAAGCCAATCTTCATCCATCCACCGTTTATTGATCTGTCCATGTTATGCAATCCATAGCCCTTAGAATAACGTCCCTTCTTTCCAAATCTCTATTTAGGCTCGAACACGCAGTCCAACATTTCTGTGCATCGTTGCTAGCAACAGAGTTTTCAAAGGATGTCACATGTTAATGTAGCAACTTTCCTTTGGTCCGCCTCGTTTTTTTCAACTCACTTATCGGTGTCAGGAAATCGGATGAAACACTTTTTCATGTAGTTGATATATTACTTACGAGACAAAAGGGCATTGTAGGTCTTGTTCATTTGAAGAAAGAAAATTTACAATAACTTACAAATTTCTCGCGGGCTGATTGGTTATTTTTTATCATCAATAAGAGGACAGACAGATAAAGCTGACGTAAATGAACGCGCRCTCTTTCTAGTCGCRCTGTTAGTTGTTTTGATCAGTAAAAATGAGAAGTTTTTTTATCGTTTTTGTTATTGTAAAAAACAAATTGACATCAGTTTTTTATGTGTGTGTCCTCGTATTGACGATAAATTTCCCCATCACAATGTCAAAGTAGTATGCGGATCCACACCACTTTGACAATGTGATGACGCAATTTATCGCCAATAMGAGGACASACACATWAAAAACTGATGTCAATTTGTTAAATATACAGGTATTTGAGGCAAAATAATTTTAGTATATTTTTACAGATTGCGTGTTCGCACTTACTCTATTTACTGAATTCGTTCTCTTTCTCTTGGATATCATTTTTTATAGTTTGCTATCGTTATGCACATGTATACTTACAAGTGCAGGATATTTGTAGTAATTCTTCAGCATTATCAGGTGTTGTTATGAGATCCTTGATGTGGTGCTGCATTACTTTCCCTTTGTTGTATCGACTTTTACTAAGAGCAAGCCTYTCTATGTCTTCTAGCTCTATCTTGATACAATACGACGCTAAGCCTTGTATCTTTTCTTGAAATAAAAACCATTGCACTTTATTTAACATTCGTAGGTAACAATGTGAAGCGGTTTTCATTCAATAAGCTAAAGAAAATATGAAGATATGAAACAAACAAATAAACAAACACACACAAACGAACAAACAAACAGACGAACAGACGAACAGACGAACAAACAAAAAAACGAACAACGAACAAACGATTAAACGACAAGACGAACAAAGGAAAAGATAGTCATTTCATTTCTTAGTTTCAAACTCAGTTCGAAAAACTATTTGTAAAATTAATGTTAATCATCGCTTGCATATTATGTCTGAGTTGCTCTCTCGATTTCATTACTTTGTTCATTGCAACTGATAGGAATAACAGAAATAACAACAGAAATAACCAAAGCAACAACAACTAGAGCAATTACAATAATAACCAAAAACACAAAAGCAAAAGCGACAAGACAGCAACGACAGCA